CCACATTGGGGATGGTGCCTTTGAGGGTTGCAGCTCTTTGGCAAGCTGGACTGCCTTTTAGGGTTGCAGACTCTTGTGACCCACCTCGGACATGATGCCTTTGCGCGTTGCAAGTCTTTGGTGTTGAGAGTGTCGGTCATGTGATCTCCAAGGCCGGTGCCACATCGGTCATCGGAGAGTCGACGAATCGGATTGTGCCACCGGGCACAATGGCTTTTCGAAGAAAGCTTTCCTGGTCTCTGGAATCTGCGTCGGTGCTTGCGTCGGTGCAAGAGAACCGTCGATCGGTGCTGTCGAGTGTTGCTGTCAGTGCTTCAACTTCCGCTGGTTTCTGGCTCCCTGTGCTGGTCTCCAATTCGGCGGCATCGCTATAGGCATGGTTCGAACCGCACGAACAAAATGCTCGCCGCCAGAGACACGGGGCAACGGAGACACGTCGATACCGGACTGACAGAGTCCCCCCAGAAGTCTAGTTCGACCATATTTTGACACCACTGAAAATAGAAGGACATGCTTTTGTCTCGGGTCAGCATCACATGTCCCCAACTGTTTCCTACATGTCCTGTGTATAATGTCTTCATACCCTGAGGATCGAAAGTTAGCTCTGCTAACATTTGGGGTTGTGTCTTCTGGGGCTCTCCGACCTCACCCTGTGAGGTCCGACCTCAAAAAACGAGATCATACCAGACCCAAAAACCACAAAACCACAGAACCCCAAAACCACAAAACCAACGATCCCAAATTCAAATTCGTCACGGGTTGTCACGCTGGAGTCCGACAATGACCTCATTTTTAAAGGGACAAAAAAGACCAATCACGGTCTGTCACGGTCTGTCACGGTTCGTCACGCCCTGGTATGCTTGGTTCTTGGGATTTCATGGTCTTATCCTCCGACAATGATACTGAAATTGTATATACATTTCAGGTACCCCAATCTGTGATTCGACAACGTCTCCAAATAACACGATCAATAGAAACGTATGCATATCCTGAGATCATTTCTATTTGTGACCTGTGTGTGGTCATGGATCGTCAGGGATATATGCATACACTTTGGCCTCCCATCCAACGTCTCAGATGCTTCTTGGACTCGTCCCTTTTCCCGTCTGCTCAAGCGGTCAAGCAGGCACCATCACCCTGACCTAACCCCCAAAGATCTGCAGAAATCTGTCTCCGCCCTAAGGATCCTTGGACCCTCCGAAGGAGTCCAACCCTCGTTAGTCACAGGGGTAGTCACAGGCCCCTCTGAACATCCTCCAAACCAGTTTTTGAGGGTCCGGAGTCCGGGCGCAGAACTCCTTCACCACCCTCCCCCTCCGATGCTTTAGACCCACATGCTCACCTCACCCTCACCTCACCTCGCGCCAACCCGCGCGTCGCTCTAGGCAGTCAGGCCTTCTTGCTGGCCTTGTTTCCTCGGATGATCGCCATTCAGGGCCCCATCTATCGCGGCGAGTCGCACAGCGCCCGGGATCCGCGAGGGGTGAAGACCGTCTTCCCGTCGGGCGGCGGGGCGGGGCGACAGTTCCCCCCCTTTGGCGCGGTAGTTGGACCTGACCGACCGAGAGGGAGGGCCGTTTTTTTTTGGATCGGACTGAGAGGGAGACCTTGGTAAGCCTGGGGCCTATGGGTGAAGGTGGGAGTCCGAAACGTCAACGGACAATGGGTGGGGTGGGAGAGAGGCTTCTTTCTTGGCTTCAGTCGGATTAGATTGAAATAACCCTACGGCTCCACCCCAACCATCTTCGAAAAGGAGATGGGCCAGGAGCCCTATATAGGGTACGATCATCTCCCTATGTAGACAGACTGGTGCGAAAGTAAGGAAGAACATGTTTTTCCTCATTCCCTACGAGTGGCACCAGCCTAAGTATGGGGAGGCTTTGGAATCTTGATAGAATAGCCCATAGTGCAACGATCAGATACTTTGATAACAGGGCCGTGTCAAAGGGGTCGTCCAAGGGGCAAAACCTCGAAACTGTATGGTGACGAGTCAGTATAGGACTACACAACATGTAAATGGGGAGTGGGTCGACCCAGCACCAACACCAAGAGATATATTATAGCCTGAGATGTTATTCAACCACACACCATCTGAAAAGAAGGATCAAAGGGAGGTTTGGGTCCTGCACCTGATTATATGCATCTAAGAACTATGGAGGTTCTTTTGATCTACAATATAACGCCTAACACGAGTGGAGCCAGGTTCCTTCCTTCCCCCCGGGTTTTAAACACATGGAAGAGCTCTTGGGAGGCATGATGTCCCTGGGAAAACCATGTCTTACTCGTGTTAGGCATCTTCCCGGCATTGGACCCGGCGAACATCTTCTCCATCTTCGTTTGTTTGCTCACGTTGCTCGGTGCCGCGGCAGCAGGTTTCTGCAGCTCATGGAGTGGCGGGTGAAAGCAAGAACCCAGACGCTCCGTTCACAGCTCGACTGGTCCCTCAAAAGGGTGTGTTTGTGAGAAAAGCAAACGCTTGCCAATGACCCGAAACAAAACAGTACCAGGATACCAAAAAAACAGGCCAATGCGAAGGGTTCACCTGGAGGCCCGGTGTCCCCGTTCGGCTCCATGCCACACAGCTCCGTCCGGAAGTCTGGCTCCGGATGGGTCGTGTCATGTCGTGTCAGCGATCCATGGCCACCTGAAGCACGGGGAGCAGGGAAACTGTGTTTGTAGGCCATTTCTCTTGAAACAGGTCACGGTGGATGGATGAACATGGGATCCCTATGGTGACTGCCGAACCAAGGAGAATAAGCCTTGATGTAGGCACCGACCGGGTCGGGCCCAGTCACACTGAACCGGGTCGGTTTGCTGGATCTGTATGTGTTTTTGGCTTTGTCGGGTGATTCGGGCGAATGTTTTGAAGCGCAAGGAGAGCATGTTCAACAACCCCGCAAGAGCACATTGAGCACCCGGAACTTTTGTTCCATGTTGTAACATATGTTGTGCCTGTTGTTTTTTTCTACACCACTCCACCCCCCATGGCTACCCCAGTGGCTACCCGGCTACCCCTTCTGTTTTTTTGAGAGAACGCCTGGCTCCAAGGTCAAAGATATATCACGCCGCAGGTCCTGGATATCTGGTTTTTGCTGATGCATTTCACCTGCGCCTGGTTGGCAATGGTCCGGGAGTCTTCCTTTGTTGGCGGCAATGTGGAAGAATCCCCAACATAATCTACTGGAAAAAACAGTGGTCTCTCTGGGTCTTGTTTTCAATGTTGCTCCAGGTCCTAAATGACGTGTCGAGGGACCCGCTCCAACCACCTCCGTTTCGAAGATGGTTGGGGTGGGTGCCAGGGGGGTCTAACCACCTGACCTGAGGAGATGGGCCAGGAGCCCTAGGGATAACTGCTCTTAGATTCGAGAGGTCCTCGCCAATCGAGAGGTCTCCCTCGACAGACGAAGAACGTGTGGAATGGATGTTTCCGACCAGAATGCATTCCCGGAGGGATCCGGAACTGTGGAATGGATCTACAAGGATGACTGACACATCATTGGAGTCCCAGTTTGACTCATTGTTACCCTGGCCTGGTAGTGGTGGATGATGTCAAATGAGTCATTGGAAGTTCCCCACCAACGCAGAGTCGAGTCTTCTTTGTTTCTCAAGTTTGGCTTGCCGATGTCTCGCAGATATATGGAAACAAGGGGTCATGGTCATGGACAACCATTCAAACCCTTTTCAACCAACCCTTCCTGACAACGAGATGCCATTTATTTGATTTTCATGGCCGCTCATGGCACAGTGACCAAAGTCGTCGGCTGGATGTTCGGCAATCTGTCGCTTCAAAGACCTGCTCCTAGGCATAAGATGTATACAGCAACATCACTAGAGCTAATATGGAGGACTTGGGAGTTGGCTTGATTGCCCGACTGCCAGTGCCTACCTAGAACCTGAGTGACCTTTGTCTTGCAGGATCAACTTCCTATCGAACAGGAGGTCATGTCCGGGATCTATTCCAGCACCTTCATGTCGGGGTCACCAATTCACCTGGCTGCCCCCTCCGTTGCACTCGGCGTCGATGGAACAAACGGGCTGGGTGGGTGGGCAAGGGGGTCACCTTGAGGAGATATTATGGGCCGGGCCAGGAGCGCTATAGGGGATGGTCAAGACGGCCTTATAAGGTCTTTGGCTTCACTTCCACAGACATCAAACATAAAACGTAAACAATCATAGCAAGGCTGCAAAGCTGGGTTAAGAGGGTCACACAGCGAGAGAAATGCTTTGAGAAAGACCATGAATCAAACCGTTAAATGGCGTTTGTGTGGCCAAACTCTGGAAACAGGAACTCTCTGGGACACATCGGCTTTGCATGGCCCCAGCTGCTTTGCTGTTCTTTTTTTTTTTCAGGTGCCTGGCCACTGCTTCTGGCTGATCCCACTGAAGCCACACGGATAAACCCTGATCGTGACGGCTTGGTCGAGAAGATGAAACGAGTTATGAGAAACCCGACCGGGCTCCAGTGGCACCGCACCTGGTTCTTGGGCTGGGTTTGGAGGGTCTGAAATAGACCTTCAGCCCTAGGGAAAAAAGGAAGTGGTTTTGTATGAGGTTTGGACCTGGGCGATCTATGGTTTGGACGAGGGTAGCAGAGGACTGCTGTTGTGGAATGTGTAGGTCCTGTAGGTCTTGGGGTTGCTCGTGACTTGGTGCTACTACGGAATCACTGATGAACAACGGTTTGGGACTGCTGCTACTGAAACACACACAATACAGTCACATAAGTATAGAAAGTCCACATGTACCCACAAATGATGTGTTTCACTCGTGGCTCGCATAAGAGCCGCATGAGAGCCACATAGAGACCATGAGGCAAGTGATCACCATATGGGTGTGTCTTAAAATAGGGAGACCTTTAAAGGGTGGTCCAGCTTTGCATGGAGGTTGACAAGCAATCCTTGTTTGAGCGCAGCATCAAAGAAAGGAATAGTGAGAGAAGCTCTACATGATGTTTGGATCCTACTTAGTCTAGACCTAGTCTATACTGGAGCTGGATCATCACCCCAACAAACCACCAGGATGACCGGGGATGACCCCAACATCGCCTTGGAACCCCCTGGAACGGGATGACCGACTTCTTCAGTCCGCTGCGTCGGAACATCGCTGCGTGAACGGCGAGGTCCGCACCATTCACTTCGTGGTGATCCTGCCTGCCTTCCTCATCGGACTCACCGCCAAGCACTGGCCACGCGGCCGAACACACCACGTCGCGGGCGGAAGGGGGAGGGCGAGGGGGAAGGGGGAGGGCGGTGTGGACTGTTAGAGAAGTATGTCAGAAGTGGTGCGGATCCAGGTGGGTCAGGAAAGCCATGATCTTCACAAAACTTGGTCATGGTGACTTTTCCCGGTGAATCCCCTGGCATGGCTCCTGGCGAAACACCGCGGAGGAAAACCCACGATCTCAAGCAGCCCATGGATTGGGGCATATAACCTGAAGATAAGACACCTGACAAACACCAAAGCAGCAGTTTGAAGTTGTTTCTTTGGTGGTGTCAAGTACTGCTGAGCTGTTGGAGGGTGCTGGTACATGGTTTGGACTCCGGACTCCAATGGCTTGTGCGGGGTATGACACGGGAGATCCACCAACAAAAGGGTTTCAGTATGTGTCAGTCCATTGTGTGCTTTTGTCAAGGTGGCCCACACATGAATCGGCAACTTCATGTGGATGGTGAGCCACCGGAATTCCAAGGCAACTCGCTGGCCTGGGGAACCTCTTCAGTGCCCTCATTGCCGCCCCTCGCCTACGATCCATCGCATCGCATGTAGCGCATCTTTCGATCACCTGGCGATCGATGCGCAGTGTCCGCATCTACCAGGGCCCCCTACAAGGGTGTCCAATTATAGCTCCATTAGAGGTTAAGGGGTATCCATTAACCACCTCAAACAGGGGGCCCTGGTATTGCCCCATTCGGATCTGTTGGGGGATTTGATTGGCAGCTGTGTTCGTGGCTAACCCGGTCCGGTCTCGGTGCAACGTGACCACATGCCGAGAGCAGCGAGACTCTCGCAGCGAGAGCTTGAGACATTAATCAACTAGGTCCTGCGGATCAGGTTTTCGTTTTTTTTCCCCGGTGGCTGGGTCAATCCCCTGGCATGGGGAACATCTTCGGAACCGCAGATGAGCAATCAGATCTAAGAATCTTGATATGGTTTTGATCAAGCAGTCTACATGGGAACTAGGGCTTTGTGGGTGACACTCTTTACATTGCGCCCGAGGCCTGGAAATGGACCACCTTGACCTCCGTACTATGCTGTTCATGCTTCGTTTTTGTAAGACGGACTCGACACCGAAACGCAGCGGTCCGGACCTGAACCAAACCCATACCAGGGCCCCCAAGAAAGGGGTTGGCAAAGATTGCTCCTTAGAGGTATCCAGGGGTATCCATGAACCACCCCTGGTTCAGGGGGCCCTGGTATGTATTGGTTCGGACACATTTGATGGACGGAGGGAGCTGTCTGAACAGGCGTACCGCAGTCCACAGCATAGCTTCACGGACTTCTTCTCGAACCTGGTGTCTTGGGCTGAAGTTTTGTCGGACCGTCCGGTTGGTTTAACTTTGAGACCTTGGACTGCCACAGAGCCGGTTTCTTTGGCAAAATCTTGTGACCCATGTCGTTTCTGTGTTTTTGATTCATCAGAAACTTTGTTCGTCCCGAATTGTCGTTCAGGCATTGGCTTTGCTCGTCCTTGCGGTGGTCTTTGCCATCCGGACACAGCTCTACCAGCAACTTGGAGCCGTACATTCTCACTTGGGAGGTCAGTTGCTTCGCGTTAAGCTGCTTGATTTCCTAAATAGTTCCACTGTTCTTTGCTACAGCAGTGAGTTGCTTGAGTTGAGTAGATCGTGTGGATCAGACTCTGCATCAGTTCTAAGATCACCCAAGTCCAAACTGAACCATAAAACCTGTGAGAAGTCCTGAAGTCCAGAGAAAAGACAACAAAACAACAACAACAACAACAACAACAACAACAACAACAACAACAACAA